AGGAGCAGTGGCTTCTCGTATGACCACCACTGGGTGATTATAGAAGAGGAAGGGGTGATCATGCCCCCTGATCCTCTCCACAGTCTTCCAGGAAAGGCAAAGAAGGGCTCTCCCATTTTGTAGATGAAGAAAGGGAGCTCCAAGGAGACAGCTTTGTGACCGAGCTACGGCCTCAGAATGCTGGAGGCTGGTCTTGGAGCCAGGTCTCCCAGCCTGGAGCTCTCGTCCCAGCAGGCGGCTGCAGGAAACAGCTGCATTATGTAATGAGAAAAGAGGGACTGCGAAAATCAATGTTGGATTCTTGGGGAAAAGGAAACTGACCTCCCACAGTGAGATGACTGAGGTGTGGCTCACGGGCCAAGGGGGCATTTGTTCAATGGCCTGTGCACTGACCCAAACACTGCAGTTTTCCATGGGTGGCAAAGTATGAGGCAGGGTCTACCGGCTCTTAGGATCTTGACCTAGTAGCTGGGACCCTAGGGATCTGCGTAGCTTGCTAATCAGGGGCTGGCTTACCCTGAACTGTCTGGTGAACCCAAATGCCTGGCATGGGTGTCTGAAGATTTGGGTTGATCTGTTCATGGGTAGATAGGAGAGAGGTCCAGTCATTTGATATCTTAGACAGTTCAATCTTCATGATCAGTCACTGTTGAGGCATTTTCAAGCACAGCCTATCAGAGGAGTCCACGTTGAGGCTGATGCAGCAAATTCGTGTCTGCTCCATGTGTCAGCATTGCTTACCAGCCTTGCTTTTTTCTGCTCCGTATTGATGGCTCTATTAATGGATAGAAGGATAGGAATAAAGAAGGAGAGGAAGAGAAGAGCCCTAATTTGACCCACTAGTGCATGATTGAAAAAACTCTGTTATAGAAATCTTTGTAAATGGTCTCGACAGCTTCTTATGAAATAGCTTCACTTGTTAGTCAGTCCTACACTCTGGACCCTGTAGATGATGCCAGTTTTGGCCAGGTGCTCACTGCTGACCACCCACATGGAGCAGAAGGATAACAGGGAGCAAGGTTTCAAATCCTCAAACAGATTATTACTCAAAAAATGACTTTACAATAAGGAATCAATAGCTAAATGGGGGAATATCATAAGACAAATGAGAGTGACCAATTTAACTTCATTTATCCTGCCTTCTGAAACACTTTCCTAGTTCCTCTGCCTCAAATCAAAGCCTGCCAATCTCTCAAGGATCACCTCTTCCAGGCAGTCTTCCCTGACTATCTTTTCCTGCTTGGAGCTTATGAAAAACATTTGACATTACCGCTTATTTAATGCCTCACCATACCTTACCAGCTGAGTTGGAATACTTAGTGTTATTTATATTTTGTGGCTGATCTCTTTTAGAGAGTCTGTCCAGCTTCATGTAGTACCTAAAGTCAGGTCTTTGAGGGGATCTCCTGACCCCTGGTTTCAGTAGAGTGAATGAGGGGGTTGGCATGTGACCAAAGCTGGGGCAATTAGAGCCTTTCTCTGGGAATTCGGAACTGGAAAGTGATGGAAGAAGGGAGGGATGGAAGGAGGGGGAGAGAGAGACATAAAATACTGCCTCTTTTTCTAAGAGCTCTCTTATTATCAGTTCCAGAATGATCTGAGGTCCCCTGTTCTTGCTCTCGGGCAGTATGACACACCCTATCTTCATGTCTTTGTAATCTATCCCTGGGTGACCATATGTCCTGTTGGCTGCCTAGTCCTGGTTTTTGCCTATTATCCAAGCATAGTTATTTTTAGTGTCCCATTCACTCTTGCAGTGCACTAGGTTTGATGATACAGTCACCTCAGCCTACACCAGCAGAGCTGATTTCTGTTCTTATTGCACATGTATAATGTCCATAGCTTATAAAGCAATTTCACCTTCATCAGCTCATTCTCTTTTCAAATTAGTCATTTCCCCCTTAGAACTGTGCCTCCTTCCGTGTGCCGCCACTAGCTCCTTGTCATCCAAGCCAGAGATCCAGGAGTGAGCCTAGGCACTCATGAGTCCTTCTCCTTGGCCTCATGAGTCCATTCATTCATTCCTTTAACATTTCAGCACCCAAGAAGGACCAAGCACTGTGCTAGTTGTTGGGTATATAATGCAGTGAATAGAATAGAGTCTTTGTCTTTCTTGAGTTTACAAGCTAGTTCAAGCAACACCCACAAACATATAGTTTCAAGTTGTGGCAAGTGTGAAAAGAAAAGAATAGGCTGTCTGAAACAGAAAAATGGGTCAGGTATGGGACAGGCCTACTTTGCCCCAGGAAGGGCCTCTCTGAGGAAGTAACAATTGAGTTCAGATCGTGAGGGTCAGAAGGAGCTGGTTAATGAAGGTGTTTCAATTGCAGGGGTTGAATGGAGTCCTTGCATTTCAGGTTGATCGCTCTGAAAACTATGTGAAGAATGGATTGTAAGGGGCAGAAAATGGAAGCAGGAAGACTAATTAAGAGGCTATTACAATTGCCTAGAAACGCACTAATGGTGGCTCACTCCAGGAGTAGCAGAGATGAATAAAACTGAACATATTTGGGGAATATTTTGGAGGTGAAAATCAACAGGATTCGACAGCAGATTGGATGTGGTGGAGGGCAGGGGCTGTGGTGGTGATGGGGAGAGAGGTGTCCTCTAGGTGTGTGACTTCAGCAAGAGGGTGGCTAGTGGAACCAGTTATTGAGATGGGGAGGAGAAGAGGAGAAAAGGAGAATAAACATCACTTTGGGATGCATTTAGTCAGAGATGCCTGTGAAAATTCCAGGTTCATTTTGATGGTCGTGTGCAGGGCCCTGCGTCCCGAAGGAAGGGCTCCACACTTGGCTTACTGCTTTGATTGGCCATCTTGAAATTCTTGAAAACTTGATCTTTGAACCACAGTTCTGTAAGTGAAGTTTGATTGGACAGTGGGGCATGGGTATGAGCAGAAGAAATCTGCCTACTGTGTGTGTCTGCCATTTCTTCCCACCCCAGTTGACATGCAGTGTTTGTTATACCCTCTGAGCACAAATCCCATCAGGCTCATGATGTGTAGGAGCTCAGTGAGACTCAAAGTGAGTACAAGGTGAGTGTGTTACATCTGTGGTTGGCTAAGTGGGGGCACTGGAAACCCCTGGAGGCCATCCATTTAAAACAGAACTTTCTTGGAACACAGAAAGAAGGCAATGGTGTTCTAAGAAGTACAAGTAACCCAAGAGCCCTATCATAGCCTTACTTAGGCTGAGAGTGAAGGGTACAGAAGAAAAGAGAAACAGGGCAACCCAAGGTCCTCTCCCTTCAGTTCTTTTCACACTCATCATTCTTGGTAGAATGTGTGTGTATTAAGAATCGAAAACAATTGGGTTAGTTTTGGGCAGCATTTCTGCTGTTCTGGTAAAAATGAAATACAGATGCATGTAAGAGTTATGAAATAAGAACTCTACACTTTTGGTGATGCTGCATGTGAATTAAGTGCTCTTATATTTCCATTTAAATATGACATTGCACAATATAAAGATGAATGGTAAAAGTTATGCTAAAATTTAAAATTTAAAATTTTTCTTTACTTGGAATGACAATAAGCAATTTAATAAAAGTATAAAAAGTTTCAAGAAAGAGTGTGGAAGAAAGGTAAAACTTAACATGTTAATGCTTTTAATGTCCCTTTTCCTCCTGCATTTTCAACAGAAGTCCCAGATTTTTATTTTATACTGAGTCTTGCAAATTATGGAGCTGGCCTTGCATAGTCCATTAAGGAGTTGGGTCATTCTTCAAAGAGGGTTGGCACAACTAGAAGAAAGCAGAGCAGAGGTATTATACCAGGAAAGTCTTAAGCAGAGAGGACTATAGGATCTAGGAGAGACAAGAGAGGTGGGACAGGGGCAGGGAGACCTCTTGTGGGGTACTTCCTGGAGACCTACGGGTCACCCTCTGGGCCCAAGAAGTGGGGCCCTGTCCTTTGTGTGGCAGGAGGAGAAGGTCTTAATTGACTCCTGGTGTTGAGGCAAAACAACCCAAGAAATGCTACCTTGCTAGAAAAACTGTAATGCCAATTCTTTACCTATATTGTCTTCTCAGATGGTAAGTAGAGACACACTCTGCAGGGCTCTACCACCCAGTGTCCACTGGGGAGGCTCATGTCCAGGACTTTGGGACCATGGTATAATGTCCGTATGTTCTCAAACCTATCCTATTCCAGGCCTGGCCAGCAGTGCAGCCCCCACAGATCCCAGTGTTTCCCCTCAGTTGTTACACTGTCCGCCAAGTCATGCCAAGGCACAAAGGAGCTTCTCAGAGTGTGAAGAACCCTGTGAGGCAGAAGTAACATCAGTGGGAGAGTTTTTGTGTGAGCTGAGGCATTTCTCATTGCTGGGTCTTGTAGGAAGACTACATTTCCCAGCCTCCTTTGCAAGTGTATCCCTTTGTGACTGGGTTCTGGCCAATGGGAGCTAAATAGGAGTGATCTAATCATGTGAGAAGGATATAATGATGCCTGATGCTCTGAGTGGAAAGTCAGACTTAGGCAATTTTGGGCAAGTTCACCAAGTGTTCTCCTATCAATTCTTCCTTGGGAGATGCTGGGAAAGGTAGGCTGTAAAGACTGATAAATCTAGTGGGGACAAGATGGACAGTTCATGGCAGCTTTCTAAAGGGTATATAAGATATTTGTGGTACATTGTGTGGGGGATCACAGGGAGAACAGTGTATCACAGAGAAGGGACATAGTGGATCTCTGGCAACTTGCTGTACTGATGGACAGTGACTGCACTGGGGTGTGGGTGGGGACTTGATAATATGGGTAAATATAGTAACCACATTGTTTTTTCATGTGAAACTTTCATAAGAGTGTATATCAATCATACCTTAATAAAAAATAATAATAATAAAAATAAATTAAAAAAGAAAAGAAAAGATATTTGTGGTAAATTGTTACAATAATGGCCCCCTATGCATTCCTCTTCCTGGTATCCGTGCCCTTGTGTGATTCCATTCCATGTTGATGCTGGGCTGGGCCATGTGACTTGCTGCGGCCAATGGGACATCCACAGTCATGATGCAAGCAGACGATTGTTCCATGCTGGTGCTGTTGTCATGGAATGCGTCCTTCCCTGCCATCCCAGCTGAGCCCAATCCCCAGCCAAGCCACCAGGTAACTGCAGCGGGGTGAGTAAGTCCAAGTGAAACCAGCCATAGAGCCACCTGGCCAACCCACAGACCTGTGGGCAATTAAACTGTTGTTTTAAATCACTGAGCTCTGGGGTAGGAGATATCGGATACAACATCTACTCATGTTTGTTTCCCTAGAAGCTGCTATACTGCCTGGCGTATTTCTACCCTCAACACATTTTTATTGACATAAACTTTATCCTTCCAACAACCCTGTCAGGTAAGTATTACTATTATTTTCTATTTACTTTTAATTACAGGAGTGACAGGAAAGCTTACTCATCCCCCCCACATGCTGGGGTGGGGTGGGGTGGGGGACCAGCTTGGAGAGGATGTAATCAGGGTCCTGGGAGACATGGGGACTTGCATCAGGTCACCCTAGTGGACTTTGATCACCTATGTTACATGCTCCTTCTCTTCATAAAGAACTGATCAGCTTTGCCATGTATTGGGTGCTTCCTATGTGCCAACTGCCATGTGTTCTATGTATATTGTGGCACTTGCATCCTTGCAAAAACCACATGGAGTGGGCACTGTAGCATCTCTTTTTCAACGAGTAGAAACTGAAGATCAGGAAGGAAATGAGACTGACCGCCTGGACCTGGTATGGCAGAGCTGAGCTGTAAACCCGAGTCTGTCTGACTCTTCACTGTAGCTCTTCACCATTTCACTCAGTGCGGAGCCTCAGTTCATTTGGGTATTAGGTTCTGAAGTCAGTGCATGCAGCAAAATTTGCACACAGTGACCAGTGCTTTTGCAAAATCTCCCAAGTCTCCTTTCAATTAGTGTATGCTACTTTATTTAGTAATTGACATGTAGAAAGGGATAATGTATATCATGTTTAAAAAATGGCTTTCAACACAAGACTCACACTGTGGCATAGTCTGGCTGGATACTCAAAATTCCATTTATCTTCCCCTGGAACTCCTAGAAAGAGTCCATTTCTGAGCCTTGTGAAATTAAGTTGGGGCCATTGACTGAGGTGTGGCTAACAGAATAGGGACAGGAGTGATTTATGTCACTTCCGTGGTTGACTTAAGTACTCTGTCATCCTCCAGTCCAGGATTGGAAAACTCCAATCTGGCCCACTGCCTGTTTTTGTACATAAAGTTTTAATGAAACATAACCACAGTCATTTGTTTACACATTGCCTCTGGCTGCTTTCATGCTGCAGCAGTAGTTCTGACAGAGACCATACCGTCTGCAAAACCTAAGACAGTTACCACAAGTTTGCTGACCCTGTTTTAGTCCCCCTGTGCTGGATGCTCCAGTGCTCCACCCAGGCCCCCCTTTAGCAGTGAAAACCTTAATTCCTCAGCTGCTGGGAGTGCTGCTGCAAGATGGTTCTCACCTGTATCCAGTGACATAAACACAGAGATTTAGTAGCATGACTGTCTTGCTCCAACTCAGGACAACTCTGAGAGGCCACCCAGCTCCAGAATTCTCCCTTGGGCTGGAAGAGACCTTTTATGGGCTGCATGGAAGCTCACTCTCTCCCTCTGCCCAGTCTTGTATCCTTGCCTCCATTCCACAGGAGCTGATCCCAAGAGTACACCTAATAAATGTTCTGCACTTGACTCTGCATCTCAGAGCATGCTTCTGGTAAACCCAACCTGCATCAGCTTGCACCCCCTTCCAGGGTGTTAGATGTGACAGTGTCCCAGGTGGAAGATGCTGGATCCTTGCATCACTGCTTAGAGGACAGTCACCAAGGAGCACCTCCAGAAACACTTCACCTTTGACAGTGGGCAAGCAATCCACCTCTATTGGGCTATGCTTCTGAGATTTATTATTGTTTGTTACAGCAGCTGGCTGGACTTATTTTAACAGTAAACTTAGCAAGGCATTATCTTTGTGCAAAGAGAGGTCTCCAGGAACTGAGACATACTGGGGGGTGGGCACAGATTACATGCACCTTCTCATAGGCACTACAGAGCATCTGCCCTGTGAGTGGCAGAGAAGGTCAAGTCAATCACATCCATTATATTTTTCTATTTCCATCTCTTACTCCTCTCCATCACCTGTATATATAGCAGAATTATAAGTGAAATGTGGATACAGTGTGACTACATCTCCATCCCTGTTTGGGGCTCCACCATCAAAGCATCTTTGGGCAGCTTGCATTTTGCAATAGTTGAAGAATGTAGCATGTGGATGGCCGAGAGGTGGGTAAGTGGGGGATCAAATCAAGCCCAGATGTCAGTCTCCATGACCCAAGCCATCAGTCGGGACAGAACTCAGAGGAAGAGTCCCCAGTGGGGGTCCCAGGAGCTGGATGTAAACAACCTACTGCTGTCTGCTCACCAGGCATGGCTGCACTTGTGTCCATTCCACTGGGGGAGTGTCTGTGGAGGCAGCTGGAACCCAACATGGTCTTTTGTCTCCCCTCTCTCTGAAGTCATCCTAGGACACAGGTGTGCATCCCCCACAGCCAGCCAGCAGAGAAGATGAATCAGCTTCCCTGAAAGATGTGCCCCGGAGCAGTCTGTCGGCTGAAACTCTTCTGAAGCAGCACCGCTCCCCTTCTGACCACAGCTAATGAAAATGTGTGGCTTGCCAGGAGGAAGAATCTCTGTTATTCTTTAAAGGAACAATGCTGACCACAGATGTGCAGCATCTGGTATGTGGTAGAGGACAGTAACTGGACCAGCCAGTTCATGAAATGCCTTTGGGTCCAGGCATGTATTTTTCTACTTTTAGTTATAGATTTTGGTTATCAGAAGTGGAAATGGAAGTCCAAATGCCTTTTTCCATCACTTGGTATATTTTATAATATGCCCCCTTGCCCCCACCCATTTATCTTCCGTGGCTCTTGATGAATATGATTGAGATGTCCAAAGCTAGAACTCTTTCCAACTGCAAATAAGAGAAGCCCAGTCCAAGTTGTTTTAAGCAAAAAATGACTTTATTGAGTGATGTAACTTAAAATCTGGGACTGTTTGACTTCAAAGTCAGGTATAGCTGCATCCAGGTGTTCACATGGATGGCCCAGGTTAGACCACCTTGGGACGTGTCACCAATGAACCATTCACTGTAATCAAGGGGATGGAATTCCTCTTATTGGCCTGGCCTGTGTCCCCTCCTCACCTCTAAGGCCAGGGAGTAGGGTCTTTCCCTAAAGGGAATCAGAATCCCATTATGAGAATAAGGTTGCTTGGATGTGGGACAGGGAGAGTCAACAGATACACAGTCCATAATCTGCTTTTCAAGCTCAGGGTCATCCCAGTTCAGATTCTCCTCTCATCTGTAATGCTTTACAGTTGGATACGGGATTGCATATTCTTCCTATGCTTCTCCCACTGGGACCTGAGGGCCTTTCTGGGTAATGGAAGACATGCGGGGGGGTGTGGGTAGGGCATGGGGTGTAGAAATCACATTGCATTTCCTTTCTTCATCTGAAACCCAGTGAGATAAGATGGAAACAAGGTAGCTTTGAATCATGGGAAAATAGTTACAACAGTTAACAGGTAGTTTGGAACAGGGAAGAAACGGGCTCTAGTGGCATGTTCTGGGGGTTAATTCTGTCTGTGTGTATGAGTGCCCCTCCATCTCATGCACCCCAGTAACTGCCTCCAAGTTTAGGTAGGATGCCAAGCAAGATATGCCACACTTTTGGGCTGGGCAGGCACTTGGTGAGTCTGTGTGAATCACTGAGCTCTTGGTGGTCAGTGCTCGGTGGCTTCTATTTCTCTGACACCACCCTGTATACCTAGCACTTTGCCCAGCCCCTAATAATTACTCAACAGGTTTTTGTTGGGTTAAATTGTGATATGGATGTTGGTGCTCAAGCCTGGGAGTCAGGAGGTCTGGGATGTAATCAAGTCTCTTGACCTTGGCCAAGATAAATCGCCATACCAAGAGCGCAGTGAGCAAGATAGCAGTTATTTTTGTTCGGTGATTCTTTTCCAGAATACTTACCTTACCAGGTCACTGATGGTGATCCTGTGAGATAATTCAAATGCTATAGGGTAGGCTTCTCAAGGCTAAGTCTAAGGCAAAAAAAAAAAAATTGAGTATAATCTAAATTTCCCCTGGCAACTCCTATAAATCATCCATAAAATAGAGCTTAAAAAGTTTTGTGATCACAACCAAATACAGTATTACTTGTCAATTATGTGACATAGCTATAGTAACATCTTGCACATTATTTAATAAGAGTATGTATTCCAAGGTATGATATTCAAGTACAGCCATTTATGCATTTATATGCAGCAAAATCTTCACAGCCAGGAAGAGAGGAGCAGTTCCATATCTTTGGTTTGGGGATCATTCTGGGGCACACTGCATTGAGCGGCTATCAAGCAGAATCTTCTGCACTATTCAAATTGTTTTTTATTTCTGTTTCTCACTAAAAGCGAATGGGTGGATTCATGTAAATTAATGTGTGTTGCACTTGCCTAGTCTCAATCAATTAAAAATGTTGATTGTAGATTTAGGAAGTGTCAGGCATTGGCCTGAGTGTAGGGAACTCAGTGGTGAATAAAATAGACATGATTTCTGGCATAATGGAATTTATAATCTTTGGAGATTATTTTACAGTTGAAGAAACTAAAGCTCAGAGAGGTGACTGCCAAAGATTGCCCAACCAGTAAGGAGAAGGGCTGGGATTTGAACCCGGATCTTCTGGCTTTCTGACCCTAAGCTTTTCTCTGCACCGGCTTCCATGGTAACTGAAGTCACTTCCAAAGTCACAGGCAGAGTCCTGGTGTTCATTACAGAAGAGACAGTCCATTGGAAGTGGCCACTCACCTTGGCAGTTGGCATTTGGAACTGAAGTCATACTTGGTGTTGAGTTATTCCATCCAGAAATGGGATGGCTTGGAATGGAATGTAATAAGGGCTCTATTTGCTCCACAGGGCCTGTTCCCTCTCCTGCCCAGGGCCAGAATGGTTGACCACCCTCTGTAAGTTCCCTATTGGTTACAAAGAGGTGATTTCTTCTGGCACAAGTGGCTGAACCAAGGGCAGCTAGAACTGAGACGTGGCCCCCAAATTACTACCTTCTAGTCAAAATATGTCAGGTGACCTCCCCAAGAGCCATTTTCAAGGACAAAGAGGCTGGTTTTGGGCCTGCATTTCCCTCATGTTGAAGGGATCTAATGTGTTTAAGCTTCTTCCCCATGTGTACGCCAAGTGGCCTGAGAGCCAGAGTAGCCCCTCTCCCAGAGTGCCAAGCCCCCATCTCAGGCCCCACCGTAGGAGTGGCCTTGGGGATACTGCTGACAAGACCCATCAAAAGCCCGAGGTTTGCCCTGGTACTTGATGTGCTGACCGAGCCCACCACAGGGGTGGTGGTGCCAGACATGGAACTCCTCCTAAACTGCACACAACCATTTGGGCAAGTTAAACAGCACTTTGCATGTTGAAAGCAGTGTGACTCCCCCCCCAGTTCATGAAGCCAGAGCAGATCTGGGTTTTTCTAGTCAGTTGCCTAAAAGAGACAGGGATGCAGACATCCAGGCTAGAATTGATTCCTTTCTGTTGCTACTGTCAGAAAGATAAAAATAAAGCATTTAGCCCAAGAAAAGTTGGCTTCTCACATAGACTTGTGTATTTACCCTTTGGAGAAATGTCACTAATGGTGTTTTAATAATGTTTTATGTACCTAGAGACCAATAAGAAGAAGAACTTATTTACCAAAGCCACTGCTAGTCCCTTTAATGATGGGCTACATATCAGCTTCTGGCAGGATCTGTAGTGGGTAAGAGCTGTACAATTACCATGCAAATTCATCATTATTTCTGTCTTATAAACCAGAATATGTGTTAAATAATACTTTGAGGCCACTGAAAGTAATGACTGAGTCCCATCTCTGTAAGAACCTGTAATTATCCTACAGTTGCCCTGTGTTTACTAAGCAAATCTATGCAATTATTATCTAAAGCCCAAACCCTGCCTTCAGAGCCACAAAAGTGCACCCAAGGGCAGGTCTGTGCCCAGAGTAGAAACAGCAACATGTGTATGGGGTCATGACGGATTGGGGCCTCCACCTCCCAAATTCCAGCTCTACCCTCATTCCTGGCCTCCAAAAAGCCACAAGCCTGGCTTTGTGAAACAAGTCGATTGTGTCTTCCCCTTGCGCTGCCCCCACCCGTCTCAGCCCTGGCTCTTCTGACCGGCTAGTTCCTACCACAGGGCCTGCTGGGACCTCAGCGTTTGGCTGCGGAGAGTTCAGTACAAGGGTTCCAGGAAGCACTTTCAAAGGCTCACCTTGTGTCAGGCATTGTGCTGGGCTCTGAGGACATGAAGATCACTAAGATATTTCCTTTGCTTTGGAGGGTCCAGGTGGGAGAGGCAGACAGGTCTCAGGGATGGCAGTTTTGGTATAATACAGAGACTGCCCAGCATGGAGGTCAAGAGCATGGGCTCTGGAGTTGGCTGCCTGGCTTCAGATTTGCATCTCGAATGGAGACGGAGCAGAGGCCTCCATTCAGGTCATTGAGTGAGTAATGGGAGGAAAGACTTGAGAACAGTGCCTAGCACGCCCAGCAGGTGTTTTGCACCGGTTTGCTGTTACTTTGACATGGTAAACATGTGGTGGAATGTACTTCCGACTCCTTCAGCACTCAGGTGCCACCATGAAATAAAGCCTTCTTTGCTTCTGCTCCAGAGAAGCACCCTTTTCCTTTGCGGTGCTCACAGAGCATCCCATCTGAAGTCTCCAATAGCAGCTAGCATTTTCTACCAGATGCTGTGTTAACTGGTGTTGATCTCTGACCTCTCTTACGGAGCTTACTGAGTTCTGAGTTTGGATTTTCTTCATCTTTAGTTCCCTAACACCAAGCACGGGGCCAGGAGCACAGTAGGTGCTCACGACATGTTTGTTGAATGAATAGCAGTCACTCAATAAACACTTGTTTAAAAAAAAAATGAGGAGCCCTTCAAAGTCCTGTCTGACCACATGGCCGAGGCAATGAGCCAAAACCACAGATTATATTCTGTTTTCACATGTATTTTGAAAGGATCGCAGAAGAGATTTCTTTTTATGACTCAGATGGGTGAACAAAAGATTGATTAGTTAAACACAAAGAAACCAAGGCCCTAAGCATTGGGCTCCTTTCTGCTTACTTGTATGGATGGGCTGACATTTGGCTGGGAGGCTGGGCCTCCAGGCAGGACCCTGGCTCCATTCTCCAGCTGCCGGAAGCCCAGGCCAGCCCTGGCGAGCTCAGGGCTGAAAGAAGCATTGTTAACCCCTTTGTTCAGGAGGTTCCCCCAGCCGGTCCCAGGTCACCTCGCTTCACTGTTTACTTGTGTGTTCCTAAGCAGGGGCCCTTGGCATTAGCCAAAGATTAGATTTTTCTTTCTTTATCACCAACTGTTCCTCTCCCACCCACATGCCTACATCCTTCATCCCTTTCATGTCCTCAGTCTCAGAATCTCTCTGGGTGAATGCTAATGAGCCCAAACACAACCTGGAAGGTCAGTGGCCTGTGTCTCTTCTATAAGGCACCCGCCTTCTCTCTGCTGGAATCTGAAATCTGATCATAGGAAAAATAACCAAGAATTGGTGTATTTACCATTTCAAAGAACTTTCCCACATGTTGATATCTTTTAGTCTGACCAACGAGTCTATGTGGCAGGCATTTTATTATTCCCATTTTATAGTTGAGAAAGGTAAGGCCCAGATCTGCCCATCAGCATTACCAGAAGACAGGAGAGACCTCAAGGGCGCATCTTCTGCCTCCTAACTCCTCTTTTCTAATACACCACACGTCTGTGATGCTTTGAGGAAAGAGAAAAGTCTGCAGGATGTCTAGTAAGCCTAGGATGTTTAAGAAGAAACGTAGCTATGCTTGTAAGCCCATGAACTCATTGTAAGCTCATTGTCATTGCGTTTCAGAAATTTCTGGATGATGGAGTCTGGCCATTTCTTGGGATTGACACCAGGGTCCATGTGGGTGAGCTGGAGGTCAATGAGAAGCACATTAACAGGAAAGTTAAATGTCTACCAAGTGATTCATCCAACCGCTGTCCATTCCACTCAACCAACAGACATTCCTAGTCCAGTATGTGCTC